GCCCCCTAGCCCAAAACCGTCAAGTGGCACCTTTAAGACCAAGTTTTATTCAGGTACAAGCTCTCCCTCCTCTGCAAGGACAGATCTGCACGTTTCCTCCCCCCCCAATAGCTAGCAATCCAAAAGAGTCCAGTGGAGCCTGAGCGGTGGGTGTTGCCTTCTGACACACTTCCGGTGATGTCAAGGGGTGTGGCATATGCAAATAAATTACGATAATGAGTTATGCTAATGTGTTTCTGCACCTCTTTTTCCATGAAATGACCCCTGGGAGGGGGTGTCTCAGTAGGCCTAGGGTGAAGTTCAATAGTTCTGCTCTATGAGTGGATCTCATTGGATTCAAACCCCACCCTCCTGCTGCTCTGAACCCAATTTCTCCCCACGGTTTCATGGCTACTTGAATTATATCTGCCAATTAAGGATCGCACGGTAAGTCTGAGGGCATCACGATATCAAGTCGCCCAGGACTATTTTGGGGCAGGAACGCACAGGAACGGAGTTCTGGCTGGCTCCTGAGTTGGCCACGCCCAGCAGGAACTCATTAGCATAATAGGCCACACCCAACAGCAGACACTCATTAGGATTGGCTACATTAGGGAGGTGTGGCCTAACATGCAAAGGAGTTCCTGCTCCAAAAAAAAAGGCCCTGGGTTTTGACAACAAGGTAAACATAATAACAAGCAAAAGGTGGGTGTGGCTGTATGACCACACTTTTGGTAACATGGGGGTGTGGCCTCATATGCTAATGAGCTGTGCTGTCAGGTGTGTGGCCTAATATGCTAATGAGTTTCTGCTGTTGGGTGTGGCCTATTATGCTAATGAGTTCCTGCTGGGCTTTTTCTACAAAAAGAGCCCTCACTTAATCGCCAATCAAATCTAGCAATATGCTGACATCACTAATGGCAATTACAGCCCTTTAGAATGGGGACAGTAGTTCCCGTACTGGTCACGTGGGCATACCTAGCCAGTCAGGGATCACTCAAAAGATCTGCTGTTTCTTATGCTCTCTGACAGGGATGTCCCCAAACTCATCAAAAGGGCAGGAGGTTTCTATGCCCCGATGAAGCTTTTTTTGTGAGATTGCGCCCCACCCTGTTCCGATTGAAGACTAGTGCTCTAATTATTGAAGGGCAGAACACTGGATTTTATAAGGGAAGAAGGAAGAAGGGTATGGCGAAAGGTACAGGAGAGGTTGGGCTCTGCTCATGATCCAGGAAAGACTTACCAGCAGTGTTCCCTCTAAGCTGAGTTAGTGTGAGCTAGCTTGCAGTTTTTTTAGCCTCCGGCTCACACATTTTTGTCTCAGCTCGGGAAGGAGGGCTCCAGAGCAACCTAATTTATGCAGCAGCCCAATCGCTCGCTCACAACTTTAATGCCAGTCGCTCACAAAGCAGAATTTTTGCTCACAAGACTCCACAGCTTAGAGGGAACATTGCTTACCAGATGTTTTGAAGAGGGATTTGAATGAGGAAATGAGAGAGAAAGGGGGATAATCGATAGAGAGAGGAAGGTTTTTCCCCGTTTTATCATAAGAGAACACAAAATGGCGGTCACAGGTGATGGAAGCAAAGGAGGGCAATACGAGATGAGCTTGAGGGGTACGGAGTGCCCCATTTCATATCGGCTTAAAACCACTCTCTGTTCCTAACGCAGTCCTTTCTCTTGCTTCTACCTGTGAAGGCGGACCACCTGACCCCACAGCTGTCAACATCCTACAGCAAATCATCGACCTGGGCGCAGAGCCCCACGACGCAGCGGCCGTCGCCTCCGTGGTCGCCGTGGCCCCCAGTACCGTAACCGTCGTGAAGCAGGTGAAGCCGGATTTTCCATTTCCTATGGAACGTGAATCCTGTTTGCCTCATCCGTTGGAGCCCATGCATGTTTGGTTCAAAAGGGCTGAGTAAAATGTCGATAGGGAGACAGAACGAGTGAAGGACCTCTCAGGACCATCTCGAGGAGGAGGAGATTGGATTTATACCCCGCCCTTCACTTGGAGTCTCAGAGCGGCTTACAAACTCCTTTCCCCTCCCCTCCCCACAACAGACACCCTGTGAGGTAGGTGGGGCTGAGAGAGCTCTCTCGAGAGCAGCTCTTTCAAAGACAGCTCTGAGAGAACTGTGGCTTGCCCGAGGTCATCCAGCAGCTGCAGGTGGAGGAGTGGGGAATCAAACCCAGTTCTCCCAGGTTAGAGTCCACACACTTAACCACTACACCAAACTCGGTACCAGAAATGACAGAGGATGTCATGATGGCCACAGGAATAAACAGTTTGAAAAGGGATTAGATCGTTTCATGGAGGAACAGTCTGTCGATGGCTACTAGCCATGGTGACTGATGGGAGCCTCCACATTCAGAGGCACTAAGCCTCTGAATCACAGAGCCAAGAGGCAACATCGGGAAGGCCTCAGCCTCTATTCCCCATTGTTGGCCATCCAGAGGAACTCGTTGGCCACTGTGTGAGACAGGATGCTGGACTAGACGGACCATTGGTCTGATCCAGCAGGGCTCTTCTTATGTTCTTATCAGGGGAAGTCTTTGGCCTCTCCGCCCTATTGTTTGCCCTCCAGGGGATTTGGTTGGCCACTGTGTGAGACAGGATGCTAGACTAGACGGACCATTGGTCTCATCCGGAAGGGCTCTTCTTATGTTTTATCAGGGGAAGTCTTTGGCCTCTCCGCCCTGTTGTTGGCTCTCCAGAGGAACTGGTTGGCCACTGTGTGAGACAGGATGCTGGACTAGACGGACCATTGGTCTGATCCAGCAGGGCTCTTCTGATGTTCTTATCAGGGGAAGTCTTTGGCCTCTCCACCCTGTTGTTTGCCCTCCAGGGGATCTGGTTGGCCACTGTGTGAGACAGGATGCTGGACTAGACGGACTCTTCTTATGTTGGCAATGTGAGACAGATTGCGGGACTAGATGGACTATTGGTCTGATCCAGGCGGCCTCTTCTTATGTTCTTATGAAAGATTTCCTTTTTTCCTAACGAAGCCAAGAGCTTTCATTATTTATAAAGGCACGAAGGGTTTCATAGCTGCAGTTTGCTCATAAAAACACATTTCATTAAATTGTATGTTTTCCGAGACCCACGAGCATAAGGCGTCTCATGAGCCCCTGCCATAAATTGCCAGATTGTCTTCCGTGTAGAGACTCGGGGAGACAAATCCTTCAGCTAATTGCCAGATTACTTCCTCTGCAACTAAATCTTTGTGGTGTCGATGCTGTGCTAGTCTGCGTGAGGACCCTTTGTGTAAAGAAGGACTCTAGAGACTGGAAGAGTGTGATAAAGCAGACGTGCGTGCAAGATCAGGAATGGAAAACTATTTCAGACTCCTAGGAGCTGTTATTGAGCATTTAGAAACCCATCTGTTACATAAACTCAGAGATCCTATGGGTCCAACTTATGGCTGTGTTGTACCACTGTCCTACAGGGTGTGTTGTTGAACAAAGTTTGAGTTCAGTGGCACTTTTAAGACCAACAAAGTTTTATTCAAGGTATAAGCTTTCGTGTGCAAGCACACTTCTTCAAACCAACACAGCTACCCACCTGAGAGTATGTCATTGTTAGCTCCAGCCCTTCTACTTTGGCAGTCCATGTCAGACTCTTGAACAAACTTGCTCTCAACAACACTCTCTTGGCAGTGATTTGTTTATTGAGAGATGAGGATGTATCAAGCTAAGACCAAATCTGTGTCAGAACTGACGTTTTGGGCACCAGTTATGACTTTATACATAATTCCAACAATCCCCCCCCCCAGTAACCTGTCCAATCAACCCATTCACACAGGCCGCCTAAATCTAGTGCACTCTGTTAGCCCTCCTCCCCCCACCTGCAAACCTAACAGTTACATTATCTGCTGGAAGTGGAGACTGGCAGTCAAGGTCGTTGTGCATTCTTCCCAGTGTCAGGAAGCCTACTTGGAAAACAGTTGCAAAGAAGCACAGCAAAGCAGTCACAGACACTCACACAGGCCCCCACACAATTGCACCCCCCCCATTCCCCAACGTGAAAGAACAAAGCAACAAAGGCACATCACAGGCAACGAAAACAGAACATATGAAATCCATGGCACACTAGGGCTCGAGTGTGTGGAGAGTAGTTCCAGAAACTATGAAATTCAGATGCCGAATAGAGATCTGTCTGTCTTCCGTGTTTTGTTTTTTGTATCCTGTCCTTTTCCCAAGGAATTAGGTCCATCGTGAATGGTTCTCCTTCCTTCATTTTATCCTCACAATAACCCTGTGAGGTAACTAAGGCTGCAAGAGAATGACTGGTCATCCCGTGAGCTTCATGGCAGGCTGGGGATTTGAACCCGGGTCCCTACAGTCCTAGCCTAGCACTCTAACCACTCCATGGTGCCACCTCTCTCATTGATGATCGAGATGGATAATGGAAGCAGGTTTAATAGCCCCCAGCAAGGTGCCACATGCTCTTTGTGTGTGTGTGTGTGCGTGTGCGTGTGTGCATGCTTGCTTGAGTGCCTGGAAGTTATGGTGACTTCTGTCAACCCCTAGACATTTCAGAGAGGTGGCTCAATTGCCTGCCTCTGCATCCCGAGCCCTGGTATTCCTTGCAGGTCTCCCATCCAATTACTTGCCAGGGTCGGCCCTGCTTATTTATTTATTTATTTATAGTCAAAATGTATACCCCGCCCTCCCCGCAAAGCAGGCTCAGGGCGGCTTCCACAACAAACACAACAGTACAGAATAAAAACATAAATAATACAGAATTAAAACGCAGCCTTTAAATTAGAACATTCCAAAATATCAAAATACTGGCGGCAGTTAAAAATCCAACGAATAAAGTACCTTCCAACAAAGTGCTTCGATTTCCATATAAAGTGTTTAAATGGTATTCTGCTCGTTCTTAAAGCAGCTGCTCGATGTTAACATTACGGGCTTTGCACTAGGATGGCGGCGGCCCCTAATTGTATGCCTGGCGGAAGAGCTCCATCTTGCAGGCCATGCGGAACTGTGAGAGGTCCCATAGGGCCCTGATCTCCTCTGGGAGCTCGTTCCACCAGGTAGGGGCCGCCACCGAAAAGGCCCCAGCCCTAGTAGCAGCTTAGCGTCCGAGATCTGATGTGATCAGGACTAAGGTGCCACAAGCTCTTGACTTCCTGTTTGCTGTTTGGGAAGCATCGTTGTTGCCATGACACATGGCACAACAATTAACTCGTGCAGCCTCCAGATCCCAGCAATGCCAAAGGTCGCCGGTTTCAGCTTTCTGAGCTGGTGTGAAGGAAGGGAGCCTTTACTGAACTGCCTATTAAATGTGAACCTCCGTTTCCTTTCCCTTGTTACCGCCACTGCCTGTAGTGGCTGCTGTTGCTCCAGATCCAGCTCGCACAAGCAGCGGGAGGCTTCCCCATAGAGCATCAGCTCAGTGGGTCTCTCAATCATACAGGTCAGGTGTAACTGAATGACAATGGGGTAGGCTTTGGGTGGGCGGGAGCCCAAACCCTTGGGAAAAAATTTCCTGATGGCTCAGCCAGTCCCCGCTTTCCAACTCTTCCTTCTGCTTTCTTTCTCCTGTCATCCAGTTCCCCAGGGGGCATCTCTGCTCAGCAGAAGTGATGAGTCAGGGAATCAGGTTGGCAGCCAGAGAGAGCCAAATTAACTGAGAAGGACTTGAACAATTCCTTGGCCAGCCTTGCAGAAACTCAATTAAGTTGAACTAAATAAATGCCCTGGGTAGTCTTTATTGCATGATTCTCGGCTTCCTGAAAGGCGGTGCTGAAATGTGAGCGGCTGCATTCAGCCTGGAGTTTTGAGGGACCCGGCACGGAGAAAAGCAATCAAACAGCATACAGTGCTGCCTTTTCCCCCTCTAGAGAACGTCATACTTCTCCGTAGAAAATAAAGGAAGCCCGTTCATTCAAGCGCCAGAAAGTGAATCCAGCAGGAAGTCACGCACATTTCTTTTTAAAACAGATCTGTGGATAAACAAAGAGAGAGGACCTCAAATGATCTGGTGGTAGATCCTCTTTCATACTCGTAATAATCATTGGTTTAATTAAACTAATTAATTAAATTAAATTAAATGGTTTACCTTTTGCCATAAAGAGTGGGAATGCATTGACCTTTTTTGCAGACTATTAACAGAGCAAAACGGTTTGCTCTTTGGTGGTCAGGGGTCGTCTCGTAGAAAAAGAGCTAGGGGAATTCATTAGCATAACTCATTAGCATATGCCACACCCCCTGACATCACCGGAAGTGTGTCATAAGGCCACACACCCTGATATCACCGGACGTGTGTCATGAGGCCACACACCCCGCCCCCAATGGTCCCGGCGGGAGTGCAAGGAAGCCCCGCGAAGGCCCTCCCTGGCCCCAGGCAGGCAGGGGTGGGGAGAGGCAGGGAGGAAGCAACTTACCCTCCCTCTTCTCCTGCCTCCTGGCTGAATGAGGGCCGGAAGCGGGGCGGCCGGAAGCAGGGGGCGGGGCTTCGTCATATGCCCCGCCCCCCATACCTCACCCGGGTGAACTGCGATCCCCCACGATCCCCCCCGAAATGACCTCTGAGCAGGACTAATCCTACTTATCTTACAAGATCTGACGAGATCGGGCTAGCCTGGGCTACTCAGGTCAGGGGGGGGTTGCTCTTAGCCACAGAACAAAATCTCAGGGCCCACTTCTCACAGGCTCATTTGTTTTCCATGCTCTGGTGTACACACACACACATGCACGCGCACACACCAATCATGTACAAAATGTAAGTGGTACTCATAAAGCCATCTCTTTTTGTGTTAAAGAGTGTTGTATCCTCACAGCTGAAGCTGATGTAGGCCTAGCATTGCGTTTGACATGTGGC